CCCTGTATGATTGTAATTTCATGAACCTGAAAAAATTTCCGAAAGAATGTAATCAGCTTCGCAGACCGGAAGTATCAGCACATTACTCGTTAATAATGGGCCCACGTGGTTATTTTTGAACATAACACAATACCTTTAGGTTGATCTTTGGAACCTGAAATACCATTCACATTTCAGGTCCGGGGACATGATTTTTTTTTATCACTAAGTTAACAAGGTTTTAAACGTCACCTTTAAAAAATCCGTTCGAAGCTAATGAGACTGACAAAAGGTATACACTTTTCAGAAGCCTATTATAATTGTCCCAAATGACAATAATAAAAAGAGGAAATAGGCCTAATCGGTTCAGCGGCAAGGACAAGATATTTGTGTGTTATATGTACATATATATTCAGGGGTCTCGAAAATCGGTATCTTTACATTATTTCAGCTTTTAGAAAGCGAAATTTTCATAATTTTACTGCACAGAGTGTCTCCCTAAGATTATTCTTGGGCATAACAAAACAGATATATGTGAACTTCTACAATATGCGATTCAGTGGACAGACACCCAATTCCACGATTTCCTAATAAAAATCGAAAAAGCCTATGAACGCAAATGAGATTAACTTTTAAGAGGTGGTTTTCAGGGCCGTAAATTTTTTTGGTCATTATCATGGTTATGATAAGTGACGGATCCCAAACATTCCCTCTTCCAGCTAATAGATCGAAACAATCGCTTTGGAATTATACGCAGTTTTTTCAAGGTCCTATCCAATTCAATGTGAAATGTCTTTAAATATAACATTTGCGTCATGTCGTTACAATAGTGTAGATTCGGGATTATAATATATTGCAATTCCGTCAGGCCACATCACATTTAAAAAAATGTTCACCACGTATTATTTCAATGGCGAATGTTAGGTTATAAAGAGTATTTTCTGGTTCAAATAACTCTGATAGCACTTTGCACCCAAAAGCCACCAAAAATAACAACTGAGATTGAGACACCTTCTGTAGGACAACGCCTTCCAACCCAAAGATGAGGAAATTTTATATGCAAATGATTCCTTTTGCCAGTAGTAAAGAAAGAATTCGAACATTTTATATATTTTTAGTCAGTATCATAAAATTTTTGTTAAAAAATTCCTTTAATATTATAATATAATCATATATTGGCGTTGGGATCTTTAAAAATATCACTCACAATCATACAAATTCTCAACCAATGTATGGTAAAGAAAAAAACATGTATGGTGTTGTGTGGTATGATTGACAACGAAAATCCATTTGAACCTCGAACAACATGTTTTAAGCAGAAGTCCTACCCATTTTAACCTTTTTCAGATATTTCTTGGAATTTTTGCAAAAGAAAAAAATCACCATATTTTATTAATACATATTACTTGACATAGTGATTGACATTTTTAATCAAATTCCAAAGAAACTAAAGGGAAAAGATTAAATAAAAAAAAAATCAGATGAAAAAACGTTCAAACAACCCAACAAGTCAACTGTCAAATTGGTATGCTGAGGTCGTTGTGTCGTAAAGAGGGGAGGAGTTACCCTTTTTTTGGAATAGCAAAAACGCAAAAAAATGTAAACTTACATGACAGCATTCGTCGTAAAATTTATTAAATTTGTAAGCACAGCAACTCAGCAAATTTATGATCATTTGTCATATTTTCACAGACGAGGGGGGAAAACAACATCAATCACTTGAGAGATGGATTTTTAAAAATTCTTATTTTTTCTTTCTTTCTTCTTTAAGATGGTTTTAATTATCAATTTTTTAAATCTTTAATATTTTAGGCATTTGTACTGTTATCCTTCAGTAAAATGGGAGTAAACAAAATGAACACATTTAATAAATTTTTGAAATAAAAAAAATAATTTAAATCACAACACTTGAATTTCATTTTCAAATGATTTTCATTTTATTTGCACATTTTTTAATTTTTATATAACAGAATTAAGTATATTGATAAATTATTTTTTTTTCAGATCGAAATTTCTTTGTTTTATTTTATTCACATCACAAAACACATTTTGAAGAGACGCTTTCGAATGCAAAATTTTAAAGGATTTTTCTTCGAAAGATGGCTATTGAATTTTCATTTATTTCACTTTTATTTGTAATATTTAATAATGCATTTAATTATTCAAATTATTTCATCTCTTTAATTGTAGGTATTTTGAAATAAATACGTCGTGCAATACTAAAATAACGTAATGAAATTTTATTACAAATTAAGAATTTATTTCCACTTCGATTATTTCACATACACACACAATTGTTTAACATCTCAGTTGAAATTATTTTTTTATTATTACTTAATTTTTTCTAGAACTGTAGATGAAAACAAATATTAATCCATTCACCCCTTTTTATGTTATTTAATTTCTTCGTAAAATATTTGTATTCCATTTCATTTCAATTTTTCTAATTTAATATATTTCTGCTTCTGGAACAATACTAATTTCATAAAACATTTTTCTTTCTAGAATCATTTTAGATGAGGAAAATTTAACTTTATTTAATCTGCCTTTTATTTTGATTCACACATGACGTTGGCAGTATACACATTTTTTAAATATATTTTTAAAGGCATTTATTACACTTTAATATAATTTTATTAATTTTTTATTCTGTAAAACATAAATAATTTAATATTTTGTTGCAAATTCAATCATAAATCTCCTTTTCTTGTTTTTTTTTTCACAAAATCACATCATTTTTTGACAGCTCCTCAGAGAAACACGGGGAAACGCCACTCAATTATACTCCTCCATTAATTAGACCACAAGAAGAAGAAGAACAAGCACTGAGAACAACAACACATTAAATAGCCTTATTTTTATTATTTTATTTTAATCATCATTTGAATAATTGCACACACTCATTTATTGCCGATTCTATAGATTCTTTTCTTCTGTTTTTTACGTAAAAATCAAAAGGAATATTGAAAAAAAAATATATTAACAAAAATACTACGAACATTTCAACAGCACGGAGAGAGAGAGTGGCTGTTCGGGGTTCAGACAGCGACGTACTGCTTACAAAGCATCGAAAAAAACAACACGAATGTGTGTTTGCCGCTGTCAGCTGTGCATAGAGTTGCCAAGGTGTGTTTGTATTTTTAATACAATGGGTAACATTTATTAACTGGTATTTTTAACATTTGGCTTTTAAAGAGTGTAATGGCAAACGATATTAAAATACGATTTTAAGGATGTCCATGTATAATGGGAATGTGTGAGAACAGGCATGTGGATGTTCAAGGGCGAAAATGATGTATTAAAAATATATTAAATAGTGAAGGGAATTAAAAGCATTTTCCAACAAGAGGTTTTATTTGATTTATAGAGAATTAATCACTGCATTTGACTTAAAGTCATTACGTAGATTTTTATAACGTTCAAGCTAAGACGTAGAGTTTTAAGAATTATTTTATAATGTCAAACCCAAAGCGTAGATTTTTTTAAAGTAATTTTTGAATGCTTTACCCAATGTGTAGATTTTTAAAAAAATTATAATGTCTAACACGTGGCGTAGATTTTTTACAAATATTTTTTATGTCCCACTCAAGGCGTAGATTTTTTAAAAAAAAAATTTTTAATAGTGTAGGCGGTTTATTTTGGATACCATTTGTTTTTGCAAAATAGTCAGGCTGAATCCCATTTTGATGTTTTTTATAAAAAACAACTATTTATTAGTGGGGAATGTATCGCATTGTTTGCCGAGGGGTAAGGCAGGGAAAAGTATAGTTTTGGATCTCGCCACCGATCCTCATCAGTTTCCTTAGTTTTTTGTTGAGATATTCTCCCCAGAAGCTATTGCTTCTATACAAAAAACCTTTCATACCCAATGTCTCTTGTAACAAAGCGAAGTACTTAGCTGACCAACGAAATAAACTGTATGAGAATTTCGCTGGTGTCTCACTTCGAGGTTAACAAGGCATTTACAAACAACAATAAAATAGTTGTTTTTTATAAAAACAACAAACTGGGATTCAGCCTGACTATTTTGCAGTCCAACCCAAGGCGCAGATTTTTTTTAATATTTTTATGGCTTAACACAAGACGTAGGTTTTTAATTTTTTTTAATATCCACCCAAAGGCGTCGATAATTCTTTAATGTCCGCCACAAGGCGTAGATTTATTATTATTATTTTTTTTTAATATCCAACACAAGGCGTATAATGTTTTTAAATGTCCAGCCCAAGGGGTAGATTGTTTAAAAAAATATTAATTTTATCCAACACAAGGCGTAGAATATTTAAAAATATTCCTTCCTTCCTCTTTCTTAAAAAATAAATATCCGGTCATTTATCCCATGACATGGACATAAAGGAAAAATTTAATTCAACTGTAAATCACTAAGTTCATGTGTTAGAAAAAAATTAACTTGTTCTCCTACCTCTCTATTTTTTCTCCCTAACCGAATTACTATTATTTCATCTATTATATTTTTTTCTGGTTAAGCAGTTTTTTTTTTTTTTTTTTGAAAATACCGTAGAAATCAATCCCCTACCCTAACATCAACTACATAATCAATGGCAACTCTATGCCCTGATCACATTAACAACAGTAAAACAACAACTAACAAAAAAATTCCAAAATTAGTGCCGAGAGAAAGGTGGCTGACATTCAGTCGAGTTACTAACGACATTTTGACGTGGTTGGTGATTTCAACGGCGAAACATGTATGAAAATTGGCGCGCAATTAAAAATTGTTATTACAGCAACAACAACACAACGCTATGATGATAATAGAAACTTTTTTTTATAATAAATAAAAGGGAGCAGTGAAATGAATGCGAAAAAAAAAATAAAAGAATACCAGACAAATATACACACCCCAATCATGCAACAACAACTACAAAAACAGAAAAAAAAAACAAAATTTATGTCGATAACACAAAAACAGAATTTGACATGACTACGATGATGATGAAGAAGAAGAAGCGGCAGCAAATGAAAAGCTTCAGTCCAACATATAGCAACAACAACAACAATACCAATTTAAACTAATCAGACACTGGGGAGCAGCAGCACTGTTTATTCTGCTGCTGCCGCATAATCGATTTGATGCATTGGTGCGCGGTGCTATAGAGCCGAGAGGAGTCATTTTTCTGTTTACCATTAAAAATAGCAACAGCAAAAAAGAAACAACAACAACGACAAAAATCGTATATAAGCAAAAAATAACAGAACTACTAAAACGACGATGACCGAACGAACAAACGACCGACCGACCGTCCAACCGACAGTGTGTTGTATTTCTGTGTATATCTGTATACGTGTGTGTGTGCCGATGAATAACAGCAACGGGTATTTATTATTGCATTATGGCATGACAAAGAAGTTGGTTTGTTTTGCGGCATGCTTGGGATGGATGGATATTGAATAAAACAAGAAGAAGTAGCAGCAACAATACAAAATGTTTGTGTGTATGTGTGCGACCGTCGTATACATGTTGAGTATGGTTTTTTGTTGTCATCGTCGGCAATACTCTGTGGGATTTGTTGTTGCTGTAGAGCTGCTATTTTGTGTTATCATTTTTTCTGAGGTCGTTTATTAATTTTATCACTTTTTCGCCAGACAGACAAACGAGCGAACGAACAAACGAAACGACAGAGAGTTCAACCGTCACAACTACTGACTGTCGTTGTTGTTGTCGTAGCCATCTCATGACTCACTCACTCTTCTGTGCACTAGAGACAGACATTGCTCTCATTACTGTTTTTATTATTACCATCGCCATCACTCCGACTACGACGATGAACACCATTCACATTCATTATGAAAAGAAACTTGTTTTTTGTTTCTGTAGAGAGTTTTGAACTAAAAGAGAGCTGAGCAGAGGGAAATGGAAATCATGCATTCGAATGAAATGGATGGTTGATTGGTTGGATGGAGGAAGGGAATTGTGTGTAACTACTGTTTTTTACATATAAAAATATTAATTTTGTTTTTGCAAAATATTTTTTATCGATAAATATGGTCGAATTTCAAATAACATGAAGGATCTAAATATGATAGGATATATCTAGGTTCAACCGATATTGGTCTGATTGGTCTAGGGATACGTAGTCGAAAGTCGACTTTGAGATTTTCTAAAAAATCAAAAGTCGACTTCGACCTTTAGACTTTGCAATACAAAAAGTGCTACCAATTCTGGAAAGTATGAAATTTAACATTTTAGGAAAACAAAGGTACATCATTAAAAAAATCAGTGGGGAACTATGAATTGATTTCTCTAAATTTCTGCAAGTACTCCATAGAATTAAATTAGCAGTTTCAGAACTCACGCGAAAATCTGGTTGCATAGAACTACGTTCGGTAATTGCTAAACTAAGAACTCAGAGGAAGGGTATGCAAGCACAGTAAAATCTCGAAAATCTCCAGCCCGATAATCCGAATTATCCGGTAATCTCGACTGCATTTCACTTCTCATTGCCTATTCTATAATTAAAGTTAATATTTAAATTATCACAAAATTTAAAACAATTTGAAAATGTCGATAATCCGGAAAATTTGGCAATATGGATTTGGATCTGCAATCAATTATAAAGTCCAATTAATAGGGTAGGTTTTAGTAAATTAGATCTTGCAGTCACAGTTCGCAAAACAGAACCCGTTTTTATTATCGTGAAGCACTTTGGAGTACCACAAATAAGTCGGTGGAGAAAATCAAAGTATTAGGGCCATTTAATTATGAAAAGAATAAAAACCGTAAACGTACGTAGTTCAAGAAAACCGGAATAAGTTTCTCCGCCCAGGTGTTCTGGTATTTTTCAATACCAAATATTATATTGAAAAAAAATACCAAAATAACATCAAAAGCTAGAATCATCAGAACAAATCATGAATTTCAAACTCTTCACATACAGTATAAACTTGATAATCCGAACCTCGACAATCCGGATTATTCGGTAATCCGGACTGCATTTCACAACCCATTGCGTAATAATCCGGAATTGAATTTGACAAAAATCCGGATTGTAAAGATCTTTTTAAATAAAAAAAATCGCAAATTTAATTGAAAATGGTACCTATTATATTCAAAGTTCATATTTTTGAAATGAATAATTTTCATTTTTAATAAAAGCATAAAAATAATTAAATTATCACCAAATTAATATAAATTTAAACCAATTAATAAAACTCGATAATCCGGAAATCTCGAATTTCAAACTCTTTATCCGGATTAGCGAGTTTTTACTGTATTTGAAAAAAATATCGGCACGATTAGACATCTATCTGGACTGTATCCGACACGCTCTACATGCCAACTCATACACTATTAAGTGAATATGGGATTTAAATTATTTCCTGTTCGCACTTTTTGAATGAGTTTTTTGCGGAACATCTGATTTTTTTATTATTTTACTACCTATAACCGTTGTCATTGCTTGCGATCACAATACATTGCCAGAAGTAATCTTCATTTTTTATTTTTTTATAAATCAAAAATATTTTTTGCATGTAATAACGGTCCACCCTAATTTAAATATACATAGTGTTTCAATTAAATGTATACATTTATTTCGCATTTACATACATACACATACATAGCTATCCACTATCCTCATATATGTATGTATACCTCCCAACACACAACACATGTTATTTTGCAGCAATTTTCGTCGTCGTCATCGTCGTCCTTTTTCGCCTTTGTTATTATTTTGTTTCGAAAATACATTTTCCCGGTCTTTGTTATTGTTGCAAATACCTAACAATAACATTGATGTTGCTGCTACATGCAGTATTGTTGTTATTGCTGCTGCTACGGCTGTTGCTATTGTTATTACTTGACTGTCCCGCAACACTTAACAATGACAACAATACCAAAAAAAATCTGTTTAGAAGCCAAAATGAAATTTGACAACAGTGCATGTGGGTCGGCAATACTTTTTCCTGTGTGTACGGGTGAAAAACGTTCGTCTGTCGGGATGTCAGTCGTTTGGCCTGACAAACAGTTGTGCGTAGAACTTGTCGTCTGTCCTTTTATAAAATGTTGCAGTGCAGCAGCAGCACCATAGCACCCAAAAAAAGAAAACAAAGAATTCATATTAATGAAAATATAAACAAGAATGCATGCACATACACGCACACACACAGCTACATAAACACATCCTTACACACAATAAATGCAGGCAAACAACACGACGGACACATGACGTTTTACGTTTACTTTTCATCTTCCATTATTATTGTTGTTGATGTTGTGTTTTTTGCTCTTGTACGTTATGTGAATGTAAAATGTGTGTTGTTCTTCTTCATTTCTTTCCTTCGTTTGTTCGTTGGTCGGTCGGTCTATCGTTTTTTGTTTTTGCTCAATGTTTGTTTATGAAAGATCTCTTCTTCTTCTTTAATTGCTGTGGGAATCTCTGAGCGACGTTGTCACATTTCAGGAGCTCAATTATTTGTGAGTTAATGGTGTGCTCATGGTAATGTCGGTGATGTGTGGTGCTGGTGGTGGGGGGTTTGTTTTATTATTATTCTTGATATGAGAGAATGCGTCGTTCGTTTGTCTGTCCGTCTGTTGTCTTTTGTCGTGATGTTTGCACTTGTTATTCTGTTTGGTTATTGTAACCGTTGTTGTTGTTGCTGTGTTATATGTTCAGGACAATGACAACAACAACAATCATGCATAAAAACAGAACAAGACAAGTTCATTTAGTCTATAAAGTTTGTTTTTATTATTGTTGTTATTATTGTGTTTCTGTTTCTATTGTGTTTTATAAAGAACATGTTATTATTTAAGTAGCTTTAAAAAGACAACGACAACAGCAGTAGTCATAAAAAATAAAAACATATCTAAGAATGGAATCGCCAGATTTAAAAGGGGGGCCACCACGAAAGACAAATGACAAATGGAAAGATACCTCCAAAATACATGACAGAATACAGTGGTCACTTCTTGGAAATAAAAATTGATTTAATGAATGGCTGGTTGGTCAGGAACTATACGGAGGAAAGTTAGATAGGTTGTGGTTGGTGGCTTTCCGAAAGAAAAGAGAATTAACTTGGTCTGACATTATTTGAAAAAAAAAAATGTGGAAAATTTTGCAAAAATTAGGCCATATCGTAAACTTTTCTTATGAACGGATGTAAATGAGAACTAAATAAACAAGTATAAGAGTGAGGTTAAGAGAGTTAATCGTAGGGCTAGAATATTCCCTTTAATGAATCAATAGATATCTCGTCCGATATATCGACGCTTCGATGACGAGGATAAAGAAGATATGGAAACAATCTAATTTCTACTCTGTAGATATTTAATGCTTCACATAGATATGAGATTGAAAATCTGACCTTTCCTTCAAAATAGATCCAATGTTAATTTTGACATGGTTGAGTTACGAGACCTAGCCGCTCTACTTACTCTAGACATTCACTCTGCAATCTTATTTTTTTTTTCATTTTTTTGTACTTTTGGTACCACTGGTCTCAGATTAAAGCGACTAACCTAAGTCATTAATAAATATATTTTATTACTTTAAGTACTATATAAAAATTAAAACAAAAATAAAATAAATTTATTTTTGTGTATTTTTTTTTACTTAGCTATTATAAAGGTAATCCACGTTTTTTTTCACACATGCATAAATCCACAGTGTTTGTGTGTGTGATGATATCCGGCATAACCTGGTGTAAATGTCTTACCTGAAAGCAAAGAAGAAAAACAAAAAACAAACATTAATATCATATAAAACAAATAGCGATATTTGATAATTATATATGAACCTATCTAATAATGTACATTTGTATCTAGATATATGTATATAAATATATAAACCAATTAAATGTGTAAATTTATAAAAAAAATTTAAACAAGAAAAAAAAACTTGGTAATAATAATAGCGCCACCACAACCATTGATTGACCACCACTGGAAATAATCATTAACCCCAACAACAAGCAGTCAAGTCAATCGGTCAGTCAATCAAACCAACCAACCAACAAACCGATGAATGTCGCCATCGTCGGACCTTGTCAACCTATAAATGCCAAAGCCCAAGCAACCAACCAGCTGATAATAATCTCTTGTATAAGTGTGTGAATGTATTAGAGGAGGCCTGAGTATTATACAATTTTGTGTTTAAAAATAAAAAATCAACA